TTAAGTGATTCATAAAGAGACAAAATAGATCTTTAACATTATCTACATTCACGGGACACCTCTAGATGAGGAGGGAATGAAGCAATACCAGTTAATCACCAATTAACCTGCGATCAGGCGTTCTTCTAAAGCTAAATTCAACTAATAGAAGTAATTAAAGAAGAAGCAAGACTGGAGTAGGTCGCTGATAAGCTGGTTTGTTTGTTTTTTGTTTTTTATCTTGTTAGTAATCAGGCGCCCATAGGCTCCTGGTAATAGTTCGTAATAGCCCACGTTCACATGAATCCGAGGCTTTCTGGTTACATTTCTATATTCGGTTTGGTTTCTATGTGCTCGTGGAAAATTTGCAATTTTTGTCCGTATGTTAGACATCAAACGCAGCTACTAGTGCCCTCCTGAGTGCTGAATTTTCAAGATGGCGTCGGTTTGTTATTTTCTAGTTTCATCCTTTTGTCCAGCACTTTTTACCCTTTGAACATGTAACCTAGGCAGTATTTCGAGTAGTTATGTGATGTATTGTATTGCATGCAAAAAATAAACTTCGCTCATTAAATTTTGAGGGTTCTTTGAGTTTCAGAAAATGGTGAAAATTTGCTTATACAAATGGCGTCCGAGGGGGTCGAATAAAGTGATGCTTGTATCTCTAATACAAGAGCAGTGAAGAACCTATGTTTGGTATATTTGTCCAATACTCCACCATACCTATCTGTGATGTTAGTATGAACTTATTCTGTTGACCCCCTTCCGTTGACATTTTTAACATTTGCCACTCTTAATACAAATTAGTGCTTTCAAATATAAAATCGGGAGATTGTGAAGGAAAAGAAATTTTCAATCGTAGGTTCATTGTGCAGAGTTTGGGACACCTAAATAGTTCGTGGAACTAACTGAGTAGGTGACCCAAACAAGAATATGAGTAGATCAAGGAATACAGATACAAAATAGTTGTTTTAGATAAAAAGTATTACTTGATTAATTAAATAGTAGTTAAAGATAATTAAATAGTAAAATATTAGGAATCAATAATAATATTATAACCATCAATCACAGAATTCTTGATATATTGACGAAAACTGGAAAACGGCTTGATTTTCTTAACATCAATAGAAAAAGAATTCCAAAGTTTTTGACCAGTTTTGGACAAAATATTACCTTTACTTCTTGAAGGCTTTAAGAGACTTATTGAACATATTTATATCGATCATCCTCAGACCACCCCCCTTGGAATCCCTTAAACGTACTTTTATTTTGTAACCTTTACCATCCCAAAGAAATTCAAAAACAAGTTTATTGACTTCTCTTTTTGCCTCCGCAAAGGTAAGGAGCGGTATTAAGATGTACATAAACTGGAAGATCAGTAGACTTTTACGATTAGAGTGATGTTAGATAGATAGATGTAGGTGTTAGGTATTTATTTTAATGTTATTCAACACTATTTAAGTAAAGGATTTAGTACGTATATTTCACTGTTTGTAATGTCTTTAGCAGCTATTTGATTTTTTCTTCAGGGCAGCCATTCTCCGATTATTATGGTGGGAAGACTGTAAAGAGAGCTATTGGTTCTTCTATAAATTTCACATGGACCATCCTAAGACCTTTTACCAGGGTCGAGTGGGGATTAGCAGTCACTCCTTATGCTTTTGAAACTCCACCTCGATTGCTAGTGTCTTATTTAAAGGCAATCCACTACCAGTTACACCCCCAACAGCGTATACTGGAAGAGTGTCGGGGAAAAATACTGGAGGTCAGGTCTCATTCATCCTTAGAAACTTAAGAAAAAGTGATGAAAGGTTGTATGGCTGTAAGATTAGTGACACCAGCAATGGAGATGACATACCAAGTTTTGACTCCGTTACTTTAGTAGTTGAAGGTAGGGGCAACTACTTTGTTGTAATCTCATGCCATCACATATAGGAAGTGCAATTATTATATTAAAATAGCCACTCAAAAACGAGCACAGATATGCACAGTTTTACTTTATAAAGTAAGCATACATAAAGAAGAAGAGGACTGAGAATGGCAAAGGTGTGAGTGTGAGTACTGCGTCTTGCTACTCCGCCAGAAGTGGTTAAGAGTGAGAGAAAACCGGGCAAAATGTTAAAAATGTCCACGGAAGGGGTCAACAAAATAAGTTCATACTAACATCATACATAGTTCTGGTAGAGCAATAGACAAATATACCAAACATAGGTTCTTTACTGCTCTTGTATTAGAGATACGAGCATCACTTTCTTCGACCCCCTCAGACGCCATTTTTGTAAGCAAATTTTCACCATTTTCTGAAACTCACAGAACCCTCAAAATTTAACGAGCGAAGTTTATTTTTTGTATGCGATACAAGACATCACAAAACTACATTCTAAAACCATGAGATTTGTTAAGTAGCTACGGACAATACTAAACTTTTCTTATTTTGTCTGACCTAAACTCAGTGTCTGCAAACGAGCAAAAAATCGGGCATTTTTGAATACAGATTTCTAAGTTGAAATGCAGAATTTCTGCACGATCCATTTTTTGTTGTTGATTTTGTAATGAAATTTAGCTGGAAAATGGCTATGCAGAATTTTTGCATCTAGTCTCTAGGTTAAAATGCAGAATTTCTGCATCATTCATGTTTGTTACAATTACTTTCTTTGATTTTTTTTGGAATAATTAGTCCTTAATAAGACAGCACTGTTTCCGCACTGCAATGTTTTAGGCCTTTTTTTGACTTCGTAACCTTCACGCTCCTTTGAAACGTGAAAGTTTTTGAGCCAGGCAAGCACCTTGGATAACATCTGACTTAAAGAAACTTATTTTTGAAAGGGAAAAACTTAAAAAGATTCTGAAAAGAACTGGCTTGACTACAAGAGTATTAGACATAAAATTAATTACGAAATTAAAACTGCCAAAGAAGAATACTATAGAAATTACTTTGGAGAAAACTCAAAGAACCTAAATCAGACATGAAAGAAATTAACAATTTACTGCTTAATAATCTGAGTGCAACGTCAATTAAAAACATAGAATATAACAACACAAATTATACTACCCCAGATGATATTGGGAATGCTTTAAATTCCCATTTTACTGAGTTGGACGGAAACAAGCTTCCCAGCTGCAACCCTCCTCAAGGCAGCTATCAGACTCCCCTGTTCAGCGCTCCTTCGCTGTTACAGGAGGCAAGCAATAATAGGTCCATCCCTTACAAACCTTTTCAACGTTGCTATTAGAACTGGAATTTTCCGAAAGGGACTGGAAATTAGCAAAAGTGACACCTATATACAAAGATGACAAGAAATGCATTCCTGGTAATTACAGACCGATTTCTGTATTACCAGCCGTTACTAAGCATAGAAAAAATATATATTTTTTTTCTAATTTACGGTTATCTCACAGAACATGGCTTACTCTCTGACTCTCAATCAGGCTTCAGACCCTATATTCCACTTTGACCGCTTTATTAGATGTTACTAATGATCGGTTTCTAAATATGGATAAAGGCCTTTTAAATAGTGTCATATTCCTAGGCTATCGGCACCATGGATCGCAGAATTCTGTTGGAAAAACTGAAACTATATGGTGTATGCGTAGCAAGCCTAAATTGGAGTTGCTTCATACCTTACAAAAAGAACACAAAAAAAGCTTGTATTGATGCTGTGCTGTCAGATAGCTGCACAATTAAAGCGGAATACCATAGGGTTCTATTCTAGGTCCGCTACTATTTATTGTTTAATGGAGCGCCTACCATTTGTAGGGAAATTTCGGTGAAAAATTTCCGTCAAATGGTACTGGTAATTTTTTTGGCACCAAAAACATCAACGGGATTGAGTTTTACCATTTATAATATACCGGTAAAATTTTCGCTTTCTCTTGACTTTGAGTCTGGCACTGGTAATCCAAACAAATGCTACAGAAAATTTCGGTCGTTTCGGTAAAAACGGCAAAAAGGTAATACCTCGAATGGTATCACCTTTCTTTCGGAAAATTTCCACCGGCATGAGCCGTTCCATTTGAATTCTCCCCGGAATTTCCGGGTTTTCTATACAAATGGTAAACGCTCGTGGTCTTCGATCTTGTAACCTCTACTCTAAAGTGTCGATGTATGCAGATGATACTTCTACGTTTAACTGTTGCAAATTCTGATAAGCACGTCCTAGAACAACAAATGAATCATATAATCTACATGAAATACATACGTAGCTAATAGCGAATAAACTTAGCCTAAATGTAGTAAAGACAAAATATATCATTGTGGCACGTCAATGCAAGATAAAATACCCTCAGCACCAGCTTAATATTCGAGTCTATCACAAACCCCTTATCAGGCATTAGACGTATAAAAATCTTGGTGTTGAAATAGATCAATCATTAACTCGGAGAGATCATGTGCACAAAATTGCTGAGAACATTCCTGGAGGGATTGGTGTTCTGAGACGTGTAAGGAATCTCATAACTTATCTTACATTAACTACGATGTACAAATTAACTCCATTGTATTACCGTATTTTAATTATTGTAGTATAATGTGGGGGAGCTGTGGGAAAAACAGAGCTGCCAGGGTGATAACCTTCTCGAGTTGCGATAGACGGTCAGTTGAGATACTGGATGAAATTGAGTGGGATAATCTTGAGACACGAAGGACAAGGCAATTAGCCACAATAATGTATACATTGAAAAATCACATTGTACCAGATCATTTGGCTCAAATTTTTAATAGTACAAACCGGCTAGGTATTCCTATAATCTAAGAAACTCAAAACATAATTTGTTTTAACCAAGACGGTAAGATACATACTTTCAGTAGTGAAAAAAACTTGTTGTTTAATTTTAATTTTACATTCATTCAATGTATTACTGCATAAAGTTCGTGTTTTTCAACTAAAAGTCAGAGTCTATGCTGCGGTGAGACCCTTTGTTCAAAAAAAAAAGTAGCTTTACACCGCACCTACGAATGAATTAGGTGAAACAAAAAGAAATATAACAGTCGTACGCTGTGAATTTATGTAAAAGAGGGTTCTTTATAAATGTTCTTTGTCTTTCTTAACGGCTAACAGTCGGCAAACAGTAACCTTTTCATGTTTCGTTCCTCGAAAGTCGAGAGAGAGCTTTCCGTCTTCATCAGTGTAGGGACCCAGGTACTTCTTCAATCGCTCTTCAGTGGCAAGGGAAGGATCAAACAGGCCACATGTAGTCGACCATTGCCATTCGAGAAACTCCTGAACGGTTTCAAACACAAGCCCCTTGCAGTGGGTGTCAAAACTCCGAATGATTTCATCAAATCCCGCCGATAAACAATAGCATTCCATCTTCGTCTTTGACTCAAAATGAAACAAACGAAAAATACGCTCTGCGTTCTCCGGATTCAGTAGCACGTAAGCGTTGTAATCAAACAAGGGTAGATAGGACATGTATTGAACTGCTACTTTTCCACCAACCTTCAGACTGTCAAACATGTTTTTGAAGACTTGTTGCTTGTTAGTCATCCAATGAAGAGCGTAATTACTGAAAATGATGTCGTAGACTTCAGCACCAATTCCTGGGAAGTTTATAGCACTCCCCTCTACAAACGAGAGATTCTCGATTTGACTGTGCGCTTCTTTGGCCAGTTGAATTCGTTCCTTGTCAGGATCGACACCAGTAACCTTTCCTTCGGGTCCTACCAACTGAGCTAGGTATGCAGACAGTTCTCCTGTACCGCAGCCTAAATCCAAGATAACATCTCCAGCTTTGGGGTAGACATCTGTCTGGATGAAGTCTTCACCGTCCACTTTTTGCCCGGAAAGCGAGGCTTGTTGGTAACCTTCAGCAGGACTTCGTTGCATTTCTTTTAAGAGTCGACGAGACGTCTTTTAGAGATAGACTCGATGAAGTTGCACAAAAGTTTGAAAACCCTTCTTATTTTAGTGAGTAAAATCTAGTAGAGCATATGCCATATGACTAAGTCCTATGTGCATCATTGTATCCAAATTCTATTTTAGGTGACTCGTTTTTCTCGATCGCGCCCAAAATATCCCCTTCCCCTTCGATCACCTGCCACGTAGGTTAAGTTTTTGAACTAAAAATACAACTTACTTGACCCAGAAAAAAGTTACGTGATAATTACACGTGAGATATTGTAATCGGAAACTGTTTACGTCTAGGTCGACATGGAAGAAATCTGTCTTTAACCTTAATACACGACTTTAGAATCATGAATATAAACACTCTGTTGTTGTGTACTATTACTGCAGTTTATTATTATGAACTACGTTTCATTTCACCCCCCCCCCCCCCCTCAACATTGTCATATTGTGCCTAATTTTGTACCTGTAATTTAGTGTAACAATAGGTAGCTTATGCCTCTTTGGTCATACCGTGCAAATACACTTCCAAATCCCTTAACTAGGGATTGCCTTAAGACGCAAATTTCTGTTTTTTTGAAATGACAGAACTGAAAGGCAATGAAAAAAGGAGAACATTATATTGTTTTGGCATTTACTCAATGTGCAAGACTTACAATAAATGTGTACTTATGATACGTCCAAAATATAACACTACCCTACGGACTGAGTCACGTAGAACGCACGTCAACTGATACTCTGACAGCTTAATTTAGTATCGAATTTAGTACCTTTTGTGCATTTGATCTCTAAAAGATTAGTGAACTCGTAAAAGAAGTACAAGGAAGTGCAGCTGATGGTTCAGCAAGTCTCGTAATTTAATTACTGTAAAATTCCGAAAATAAGCCCCGGGGCTTATATTTTTCAAAGACCCTTTTTGAGGGGCTTATTTTTTGAGGGCCATATTCGGAGGGGCATATCTACGGTGGGAAATTTGCGTTTAGAAATCGATTGGGCTAGCCTTACAGTTGGAAGTAAATTTACCGTTTTTGCTTTGTTTTACTTTCTAGTTGAGGGCAATTTTGCAAGTACAAGTCCCCGGGGGCTTATATTTTGGAGGGGCGATTTAACGGAGGGTTTTTTGCGTTAGCGATTTGGGGGGCTTATATTTGGAGGAGCTTATATATAGACGGGCTTATTTTCGGCATTTTACGGTATTGTAGTATAATGTGGAGGAGCTGTGGAGAAAACAGAGCTGCCAGGGTGATAATAACCTTCTCTAGTTGCGATAGACGATCAGTTGAGATACTGGATGAAATTGGGTGGGATAATCTTGAGACACGAAGGACAAGGCAATTAGCCACAATAATGTATACATTGAAAAATTACTTTGTACCAGATCATTTGGCTCAAATTTTTAATAGTACAAACTAGCTGGCTATGTATTCCTATAATCTAAGAAACTCAACACATAATTTGTTTTGACCAAGACCGTAAGAGATGTACTTTCTTGTTAGTGAAAGATACTTGTTCTTTAATTTTAATTCACATTCATTCAATGTATTACGGCATAAAGTTCGTGTTTTTCAACTAAAAGTCAGAGTCTACGCTGCAGTGAGACACTTTGTTCAAAAAGATAGCCTTACACTGCACCTACAATGAATTAGGTGAAACAAAAAGAAATGTAACAGTCATACACTGTAAGTTTATGTAAAAGAGGGTTCTTTATAAATGTTCTTTGTCTTTCTTAACGGCTAACAGTCGGCAAACAGTAACCTTTTCATGTTTCGTTCCTCGAAAGTCGAGAGAGAGCTTTCCGTCTTCATCAGTGTAGGGAGCCAGGTACTTCTTCAATCGCCCTTCCGTGACAAGGGAAGGATCAAACAGGCCACATGTAGTCGACCATTGCCATTCGAGAAACTCCTGAACGGTTTCAAACACAAGCCCCTTGCAGTGGGTGTCAAAACTCCGAATGATTTCATCAAATCCCGCCGATAAACAATAGCGTTCCATCTTCGTCTTTGACTCAAAATGAAACAAACGAAAAATACGCTCTGCGTTTTCGGGATTCAGTAGCACGTAAGCGTTGTAATCAAACAAGGGTAGATAGGACATGTATTGAACTGCTACTTTTCCACCAACCTTCAGACTGTCAAACATGTTTTTGAAGACTTGTTGCTTGTTAGTCATCCAATGAAGAGCGTAATTACTGAAAATGATGTCGTAGACTTTAGCCCCAATTCCTGGGAAGTTTATGGCACTCCCTTCTACAAACGAGAGATTCTCAATTTGACTGTGCGTTTCTTTGGCCAGTTGAATTCGTTCCTTGTCAGGATCTACACCAGTAACCATTCCTTCGGGTCCTACCAACTCAGCTAGGTGTGCAGACAGTTCTCCTGTACCGCAGCCTAAATCCAAGATGACATCTCCAGCTTTGGGGCAGACATCTGTTTGGATGAAGTCTTCACCGTCCACTTTTTGCTCGGAAAGCGAGGCTTGTTGGTAACCTTCAGCAGGACTTCGTTGCATTTTTTTTTTTTCGAGTCAACGAGACGTCTTTGAGAGATGAAATGGGTCGATGAAGTTGCACAAAAGTTTGAAAAGCCTGCTTATATTAGTGAGTAAAATCTAGCAGAGCCTATGCCACGTGACTAAGTCCTACGTGCATCATTGTATCCAAATTCTATTTTAGGTGACCTGTTTTTCTCGATCGCGCCCCAAATATCCCCTTCCCCTCCGAATGCCTGCCAGGTAGGTTAAGTTTTCGAACTATAAATGCAACTTACTTGACCCAGGAAAAGTTACGTGATAATTACACTTGAGGTATTATAATCGGAAACTGTTTACGTCTGGGTCGACATGGGAGAAATCTGTCTTAAACCTTAATACCCGACTTTGGAATCATGAATATAAACACTCTGTTGTTGTGTACTATTATTGCAGTTTATTATTATAAACTACGTCAGTTTCATTTCACTCCCCCCTCAACGTTGTCATATTTTGCCTAACTTTAATTTGTACCTTTAATTTAGTGTAACCATAGGTAGCTCATGCCTCTTTGGTCATACCGTGCAAATACACTTTTTAATCCCTTAACTACAGATTGCCTTAAGACGGAAATTTCTGTTTTTTGTTATAAAATGACAGACCTGAAAGGTAATGAAAAAAGGAGAATATTACATTTTTTTTTCGCATTTACTCAATGTGCAAGACTTAAAATAAATGTTTACTTATGATACGCCCAAAATATAACACAACCCTAGACTGAGTCACGTAGAACGCACGTCAACTGATACTATGATAGCTTAATTTAGTATCGAATTAAGTAGCTTTTGTGCATTTGATCTCTAAAAGATTAGTCAACTGATAAAAGAAGTACAAGGAAGTGCAGCTGATGGTTCAGCAAGTCTTGTAATTAACTAAACAGACTAGGGACACTCGGGTTCATTTTGCATATGACCTTTTGTTCAAGCAAAAAACATTCTCTTCCGGTTCTTTTAAATGTGCCTAGACTTAAATAAATGAATACTACCGACAAGCCCAAGGTGTAAAACCTCGACTGCACTGTGGCGACCTGTGCGGCTGTTATTTTTTCTTATACTACAACTAATAATAATAATAACTATAATAATAATAATAATAATAATAATAATAATGTGGGGAATGATACGGAATAAGAGGGAATAGACCAGAATAAAGGAAAGATCCATGGAGCCAGTAACAATAATGAGCTGCAAAAGATCATCCTCCTAGGAACGGTGCATATACTGAGAAGGTTTCTGTACATCAAATAAAAAAACTCCCCTAGTATCGAAGGACCAAGGATTAGCCCCGGCTCTAGCAGAGTGTAGGAAGCAATTAATAGCACTGAAAACGTTTATAATAATAATGATAATTAATGATAATAATAATTTGATAATGATAATAATAATAAACTTTATTAACTTTCATTATGTTCAAAACTAAGTGGGGTCACCTAAAATAGAATTCGACACAAGAATGAAGCACGTAGGACTTAGTCACGTATATGCATGTTGTGAGACAAATAAATGCTCTGCTAGATTATACTTTCTTATTATATAAACAGGCTTTTCAAACTTTTGTGCAACCTCACCGTCTCATTTTATCGCTAAAATACGTTTCGTCAGCTCGTAAAAGAAATGCAACGAAGTGAAGCTGAAGGTTACCAACAAGCCTCGCTTTCCGAGCAAAAGGTGGACGGTGAAGACTTCATCCAAACAGATGTCTGCCCCAAAGCTGGAGACTTCATCTTGGATTTAGGCTGCGGTACAGGAGAACTGTCTGCATACCTAGCTGAGTTGGTAGGACCCGAAGGAAAGGTTATTGGTGTCGATCCTGACAAGGAACGAATTCAACTGGCCAAAGAGTCGCACAGTCGAGTCGAAAATCTCTCGTTTGTAGAAGGAAGTGCCATAAACTTCCCAGGAATTGGTGCTGAAGTCTACGACATTATTTTCAGTAATCACGCTCTTCATTGGATGACTAACAAACAACAAGTCTTCAACAACATGTTTGAAAGTCTTAAGGTTGGTGGAAAAGTAGCAGTTCAATACATGTCCTATCTACCCTTGTTTGATTACAACGCTTACGTGCTACTGAATCCCGAAAACGCAGAGCGTATTTTTCGTTTGTTTCATCTTGAGTCAAAGACGAAGATCGAGCGGTATTGTTTATCGGCAGGATTTCAAATCATTCGGAGTTTTGACACCCACTGCAAGGGGCTTGTGTTTGAAACCGTTCAGGAGCTCCTCGAGTGGCAATGGTCGGGTACATATGGCGTGTTTGATCCTTCACTTGTCACTGAAGAGCGTTTGCAAAAGTATCTAGCTCCCTACACTGATGAAGACGGAAAGCTCTCTCTTGACTTTCGAGGAATGAAGCATGAAAAGGTTACTGCTTCCCGACTGAAAGCCGTCAAGAAAGAAAAAGAACATTCATAACGAACTCTCCCTCACCTTTTAGCTGTAAAAGGCTAGCGATACGATAATATGAACAGTCTGCCCTCAGCTGTCAGGCAAGCAACTTCTCTAACTAATTTTCGACGATTATTAATTAATTCTGACACGGAGTTCATGAAAATTACAACAGGCTATAATTTAGCTCCCTTTTCTTAGTTACTAACATGTTTGTATTATCGATGCTGAATCTGTCAGTACATAGTCTGCACTGATACGTTTTATTTTTTCCGTATATTACATTGATGGAAATATTTACTTATTTTTGGATAATTCCTGATGTTTGTAACCGTGTATAAATAAAGATGATGATGATGATTCAGAATGGGCCGCCTTCTTTGTGGCTTCCTGTGACCAGGGGGGGGCTTCCTAGCTGTTTCTCGGCAAGTTCAGAATATGAAGGAATGTTTAGTCTAGCATATATTATTTTAAAAAAAGATATTATCCGTCGAACTGTGTTCTTTCTGTTCTTGCTATTTTTTTAGGTAGTAGTTCGCTTAATTCTACTTTGTGAAACGTGCGAAATGTTCCGCCAATTTTACTGCTCTACCAAAACAACACAACCTCATCCCCTGGAATTCTCCGTTGCCGTTGCTTTTTCTGGCGTTTATGCCGGAATATTGACGTCATTTTCCATATATCGTAAACGTCTTTCAAATTTGGCCACCTCTAGCTAGCTCGTTATGAAGAATTAGGCGTGGGATTTTTAGCCAATTAGAACCATTAATAGAAATACTTTGAATGAATGCACCGTCTTTAAAATAATATACAGATTTAGTCACGGCTAAAAGCGGAGCTCCCATTGATAAATTTATATTTAAATCAAACAATAAACTTGTATTCACAAATCAGTTAACTTAAGGGCACATTCATTTGACTTTTGAGGGAAAAGCTAAGTGATTTTGGAGTGAAACAAATCTTGCATCGAGTTGATATAACCTTATATGTACACCCAAAAAAACGCCTTCGGTCACATTTAAGAGCAATAATGGCTCTTGATCACGGTAGATAAGGCGTGGAAAACAAATCTGGCCGTATTTTTTGCATTCGACAAGTTTACTTTTGTTTTTTTATACACCACATCTGAGGAGAAAGAGTACTATGAGGCACTGTTTTTATCATACATGACCTCTACAAAATGCAGTATTTCACAATTTTTCAAGACAAATTGCATTCATTCAATATTCAAGACCATCGAAGTAGGCGTGGACTTTTAGTGACACAGTTCAAAAAAATTTCCAAAATCACCTATACGGCCAGCCGGTTCTAACTTTTGACAAGCGCCAAATTTGCGAAGAAATTTTAAAGGAGTTACGCTTCAACGTGATAGAGAACTTATTGAGTTCTATTTATTATTAATGGTTTTATAACGATGTGTAATCTTTATAGGCTCGGCATTTTGAGTACTCCTGCAAGCAATGTTTATGAACGGCTGAAAACAATCGGAAAAGCGATGAAAATTGCACTTTTGAGACTACTAACAATCAATGAAGAAATATAATTCGGTAGAACATTTACAGAGACAACACTTTTCAGTCACGAAAACAAATGAGTATTTAAGTGTCTTTAAGAATCCTCAAGTCTTTTATAAGCTTAAAGATTAAGTTTATAATGTTTTAAGCCGCCGGTTTCCCGGTGTTTGCAGTTTTCATATAAGCTTAAAGATTAAGTTTAAGCGGTTTTCCTGTCGCGAGTTCGTCTTTGAAAACAGCAAACACCGGGAAACCGGCGGCTTAATAATCCGATTTCGGATGGCATCGTTTTTGTTTTATACCTTGTTGGATCCGTACAAGAATTATAAAGGCTCAGGCGATCCTTGACTTATCTGACCTAGTATATATCAAACCGCATACTAGGGCAGCTAAGGCAAGGATCGCTTGAGCCTTTATAATTCTCGTACGCATCCAGCAAGGCATAAAACAAAAACGATGCCCTCCGAAATCGGATTAATAAGCCGCCGGTTTCCCGGTGTTTGCTGTTTTCAAAGACGAACTCGCGACAGGAAAATCGCTCAAAACTTTCTTTCTACAGCCAATTAACACTAAATATTCTTCGGAAAGTTTTTTCTTTCTATTTACGGTGAATTAATATCGACCAAAGGCTTCTTAAAGTTCTGTAAACTTATCAAACCTCATACTAGGTCAGATAAGTGTCTCAGTCAAATCTTAATACAAACGTGCATAAACTAGCTTCATAAGCCGCGCTCGACCTCATGAAATTAGATATCAATACAATAATTACTCGGGCTTACCATATTTCAAGATGCAGCTCCTGAAAGCTATCTAGTAAGGCAAGGATCGCTTGAGCCTTTATAATTCTCGTACGCATCCAGCAAGGACGTAAAACAGAAACTATGCCATCCGAAATCGGATATCGGCTTTGACAAGCGACGCATTTCTCAACAAAAACCCAATAAACAAACCAGCCATGAGTAAGAGCAGCTGTATTTCATTTTGTACATCCAGTGGAAAAAGACAGTCAAAAACATCACAAGTTGACTCAAAACTCTGTCAGCTTCAGCTGTCAAAGCAATCAAATTTCAAGATATGCTGC